GTAGAGAAACAGCATCGTGCTGATACACAGTGTGGACGAGTGCCGCGCCACGGACCTATCGTCGTGTATTTCCGTCTAGCAGATAACGGGGCCGCAGATTAAAAGAAAAAGCGTTGAAGTCGCGGGAAGCCTCGGATGTTGGCCGGCCCACGAGGCCAGGTTTCGTTCGTCCCACGAAGGAGAGATTTTTCGACCTGTGGCTGAGTTACCGTGTAAAACAGGCAACGGAGAGTCGTCGCAGCTGCGCATCCTTCTTGGTCGTTCTCCAGGCAGCCGTGTCTGATGGCCCCGAGTCGGAGACGCCTCGGCTTATTTCCCTCCTGTGCCAGCTGTGCGGAGCGCGCCCGCACACAGGCTGCCCTGTTCAGACGAGCGTCGACGACGAGGATGGACAAAGGAACGGGACGGACTTACGGACACCTCTGCCGGCAGAAGAAGGACGGGTCGGCCGTTCTAGCCTTCGAGAAAGAGAGAGGCAGAGCGTTAGGGGCGAAACGTGCTCTAATAACCAAGACGGATAGAGACGAACGATTCTGTATTGTCGGACGGGAGACAGAGACGCGGATCTCCTTCTCGCTCTCGCTCTCTCCGTCACGTTGGACCAAGGAAAGAAGAGGGAAAGAGGTGGGAGAGGGACGGAGCAAGAGAGACAACCCCGATCGGTTCATAGTGGGGTCAGGTTGCTGCAGAGGTTCGGTGGGGGGAGTGAGACCACCGGAAATCGGTCTGTCCTTATTCGAGAGCCCGCGTGAACCACATCGAAGCCTGGCTGGTCTTTCGTGCCTGCTTGCTTGCTGGCTGGCTGGATTGCTTGCTTGCTTGCCTGCTTCCTTGCTTGCTTGCTTGCTTCCTTGCTTGCCTCGCTTTGCTTTGCTGGTCTGCCTGCCTGCCTGCCTGCCTGCCCGCTTCTCCTCTTTTCGATGGCTTCGCTTTGGCTCTACACGGTTGAAAAAGGGACGCGTTGCGGCACGCACCGGCGCAAAAACTCTCGATAACCACCGCGAAGATGTTTCCGTTGGCCGCCGCGGCTTTTGGTACCAGGATGTCCGCCGTTTCTGCAGAACCATTCCCGAGAAAACATTTTCGTCAGCCCGGCTGCGAGAAAGAGCGTCGAAAACGTGGGGGAGATACTTGCTCGTTGCAATGGTTATACGATACCACGAAGGGGGAGAAGATCCTCGGCGTGGACCGATGGGAAGCTGTTGCGTTACAGAGCGTTTACTTTGGAACTGGAGCATCTACACCGTACCTTATTAAAGACCTTTTGTTATTGCGTTCGCCGGTGAAATAGGGGATTATTTTTATGGCGTGGTAAAAGTGACGACAGGTACCTACTTGTCAGTTTCAGATTTTCTTTTCTATATTACACTCCGTTTCCAGTCGTTACACGTTTACGATTTATTTCGTCGTTGTTTTTTTCTTGTAATTATAATTAAATTGCAAATTTATTTTTTAAAAAACCAATATATCGAAACGAAGCAATGAAGACACAAAAAGGAATTGGAAATATTGCTGTATTACTTTCACTGTATTAACATCGTTAATACCGTAATAAAGATCCGAAGTCTATTCACAATATATACGGGATGCAATGCATTTTGTACCTGCGGTAACTAGTAATGCTTTTTAAATGATAATGGTTTGATACTCGAAGAGGCTGTGGTTCCTCTTTGTGAAATTATTTTCGCGTTTCCTAAAGAGTCCGATAACGGAACAAATGATGGTAGCGGACGTGCCAATGTGGTACCAGTCAATATCAGTCGAACAGACGCAATTCGTGAGATCGAAGGTAACGGGTGGCGTTAACATCGAAGAAGCATGAGCCAATGCAAACACACGATATCGACCGTCGAACATTTGCTTATACTTTATCTGACTAAGGAGATCTGCCTATCGTACACAGAGCAGGCTGCTAATAGAACAACACCAAACCATTAATCCCACTAATACACGAAGGAACGTTTATTATCTGGTACGCGTGTCTTCATTATCAAACCAAAATGGCCGGCCTGGTGAACCGAGTATCGCTATAACAGACTGTTAATTTGTTACACTCGCCCTTGAGGATTCTCCTCAGACCAGTTCCTTGTCAGAGCGATATTGTATAATCTATCGTGGATATCTATATTTTTTACGATCGAACTCGCATGCACTTCAAAAGATTCTCCATACGCTTAAGTGCTTGGCGAAGAACGACTAAATGACGTAAAGTTGCGCGAGTGGTTTAAGGCTCTTGGAACCATTGTCAGGTCGATAGTCTTTGCATATACACAGTTTGCACGTAAAGTGTACGATTTTATGCGAAACCCATGGTGCACGACTTACGCGTGTTCTCCATTTCGATTTGATAATTTATAATTGGATATTTCAGTTATTATTACTGTACCGTCTCATTTTCGCGTGTACTCATTATTCGTTCGTTGGGACGAATTTTGGGTACACAATTGCCAGTTTGTTTCCCGTCTCAGTAAAATCAAATAAGAAGTATGTACTTGCGATATTTACACAAATAGAAATTCCATATTTTCCATATATAATTCCAAATCGGTCGCTAAACAACGTTCAACAACGAGATTTTATAATAACACGAAGAACAATAGATGCTCCTATTGAGAGACAAAGTAATGAATTGCCCCAACACCCGGTATAAAATGTATTTTTCAACATGTTCTTCGAGCATTGGAATTTAGTTGCGTTCGCAATTCGCCGAAAAATATCTCACGCATGTAACGTTGGTACTTTTAAAAGTCTGTGTACCGAACGTTCACTTAGAAATCAATTTTCCAATCTTCAATGGCTGAGAAAGAGTCGCTCCATTTATTCGGTGGTATAGATACGTTCGTCACCGCGCGATACTAAAATATACCGTTAATGGAGGCAACAGCATGAGTAATTTCCGGAGGAACAGAGTGTCGGATGAAGTATTTAAGGTATTGCGGATGATGAGGGTAGTTGTACGCCAACATCCCTGGAGACTCCTTGCTCATCGCCGGATCTCCCCCACTTCGGTACGGTTTTTTCATGTGAAAGACTGCCACCGTAGCAACACTACTGTCGTCTTAAACAAACACGCCTCCGAAATCTTCTCGCAGTTTTCTGAAATGCGCCAGTCCAGCTTTCTTTCGTCGTTCGTGCGTTGCCTTTCGGGATCGGAAAAAGATCCGCATCGATCAGAACGATTGTATGATGAAGCACACCGGTCTCATGTGATCGGTGGTCAATTCACGGTGTTTTCTTATATTCAGACAAATTAGCTTGACTTATTGATCGTGTATAGTAATACAGTTTCAGTTCGGTTACGATCGAACGGGGTCAAGTTCTCCTTCCTTTGTGCCACATAAGATGCCATGAGAACCTGATTAGCGGCAATAGGGGAGAAATAGTAATGTCTCCGACGAGACAATAGAATCCTGTCTAGATGCCGTCAGCTATCGCGTAGAACACAATCTTGAGTCGTCAATGTTATCAACATTTTCTAATGGAAGCCGAAAGATCGTGTAATCATTATCGAAGATTGTTCAGAGCATTTTGTAGAACCCACATTTCTAGTGTCAATATGTACTTCGATTCTTGCGCTAGCTGAATACAAGTTATTAATTAGCAATTACTTCGAGAAAGATGTTTTCATTTATAAAGATCATCGTTTTCTCTTATGAAAAGTAAATTAAATGCATTAAGTTCATTAAGTATTATACATAGACTGAATTCCGTGAGAATTATTTAGAACTTTAGGGGGGATTGTTTTGAAATATTAACAATATGTATTTAGAATATGCTCTACTATGTTGATAATATGTTGTGTGCCATTTGCGTTTGGTTCCAAGTACCGTAATGCATGCGAGACTCTTTGTTCTCCGCTGACGCCATTTGGTCACGACACGGCGACTTCCGTCATGTTCGCCAGGGCGTTTCTTATTTCTCTGTTTCACGTAGAATTACATTAAATATTTTACCTTCGCAATTTGTTAATTGCAAACTTTCTTGTACGATCAAATTTGCATCAAAAACTTCAAAAGTGTCGTAAAAAGCGCTATCTTTAATACTATCGTTACAAATATAAATCAGTACTGAAATTATTTTATATTATACTTATATGGTATATATTAATTTGTATAGTATTTATTAATTTACGTAGTCTTTCATTATTTAGTCTAAACTCTAACAGAGTTACGACGACTTTGTCATCTGGAAAATGCATGAAAAATGTATGCGATGCACAGGTACGCGTGAGTAGATCTGGAGCGGTTCTGACACCTCCGAAGAATTCGATCGACGACTCCATCTTGAATCGTCATTACCGCGATCGAACGTCTCCGGTTTGCCTATTTTTAGAAACACTCTCTAAGATACCACGACCCGGGAAAGCGTCGCGCAATTTTCTAGCGCATGGCAGGGTCGCGTCGAGATCGAGTAATTCGAAATTTCATAGTCGATATTGGCGAGAACATTTCGTCCGCGTACCCGGGGATAGTCGCGATACAAAGGCAAGAACTGCGACAATTCTCTTAACGCGTGTTTGCCCGACGCGGCACAATGGTCGTCAGCGGGTTCAGCATCGTATTCGCAGACAAAGCGAATCGTTCGTGGGGATGAAGAGAAAAAGAGCGCGTAACCTAACGCCCTGCCGAGGACCAGGTCGAGGAAGCGCAACGTGGCTAAAGAAGAGAAGAACTAGGGGTGCGCGAGGGCCGGCGAGGAGAGGAGAAAGTGAGAGAAAGAGAGAGGAGATCGGTAGCGGTTGGTTATACCGGATAACAGACGCGAGGAGGACCGCGTGGTTCGAGGGGTGGCGAACCCCTGAAGGACCCTAGTCGGTAGCGGTGACCTCCTCCCTCTTTTTCCCTGTCTCCCTGGTCTCTCTTCCTTTCCAACCCTGCCCCCTCCACGGCGCTCGTCATCCCTGCCGCGTCGGCACCGGAGCACGATCATTGGTTCACCGGTTTCACGCAGACACGAGGAGGCACACGCAGCTGCCACTGGCTGTCTCTTGTTCCACGGCCGGACCCGATCGGTCAGTCCGGAGAAGAAGCAGCGCGCGTGCAGTAGTTAGCACGCTGTCTGTCACGCGTGATACATCCACACGGTTCTTCATTACAATCGGCGCGCGTACACGGTGCTTCCCTGTTCATTTCATCCGTTCGAAGTCACCTTCCGGTAGATCCCACCGCGGGTTTCCGTTCTTCCGTTTGGTTGCGTGAGACGACGCGACTGCCCCTTGGTGCTCTATCGTGACTACCACACCACGAGTCCGTGCGTACACCGTTCGGCGATTCTCGTGTACGCTCGTTGACGATCGTCGTCGGGCACCGTCATCCGTCGCCATCTTGACGGTCCGCCTACCAATCAACGTCACGATCGTCACGGAACGGAGAAAGGTACACGAGGCGACACCTTTCGCCGACGGCGCGGACCTGTCCCTCACACGTGTTGCGGAAAAAGACGTGCGCGACATACCACGCGTTTTTAACGTCGTTCTCGCCGTCGTTGTTCTTTCCCTAAATTATCAACAATCTCACCCCACTATCCCCCGTTCTTCTGCGACCGTATAGCGAACGGTCGATTTACTCGAGACTGGTGACCGCGTGTGCGTGTGACATTTTGAATTTTCTCTGAGAAAGTGGTGGCGTCTGTCGGCAGGCCCACGCACACACCGTTTTTCAGCACTCCGCCGTCTGTGCTTCCCTTCTCCCTCCAGCCGCGTCCCTTGTCATTTCGTCTCTGTCGCTCTTCGGTCTCCGGTCCCCTTCTACGACGCTACCCACAGTTCGCAGGGCGTCGCACGCAGGGCGGTACCGATGCCCTTTCGACCTCCCGCGGTCATCGAGAGTACGCAAGAGTGCTTCCGTCGCGCGCGGCCGTCTCGCCGTTGATTCTCACGTTCCGCGACGTTACAATATTTTCAGTCGAGGCTCTTCTGTCCTCGATGCTCGTCCTTTGAGGATTCGTCTCTGTCTCCGCCTCCCTCTCGCTCTCTCTCTTCCTCGATAGCACCGCGCGCACGTGTCTCGTCCCGAAAAAAGGATCGAGGAAACCCGCAAGAAGACGATCGAACGACCGGCGGATTTATAGTTTCCAGTTCTTGCTGCGCGCGACTGTATGCATCCGTGGACACCCACGTGCGCCCGTTTCCAGTATCCAGAGTGTCACACGGTGATCCTAGCGGACCGAAAAGAGATGCTGCCGGTGAAACGCATCTAGTCATACTCTCGCTACCAAAGTAAACCAAGGCTCGTGCCAGAGTGCCGCGACCTTCCATCGCGGAGCACCAGAGAGAAACAACCGTCAAGTGTCATTTATCGTGAAGTGGTGTAACGCGCACCTGGGACAGCGTCCGTTTTAATTCAGGATTCTGCACGGGTCGCAAAGTCACGCGTGTACCAGTGTTCAACAAATCGCCGATTACGAGGATCGGTCAGAGAAACGGAGGCGTCGCGAAGATGGATCATAGCCGATAGGAGACCTCGGGAGCAGCTGTAGTATCGCCGAGGATGCCGCAGAGAGACGTTATCGCGTGTCGGTCTTCTTGGTGTGCGTGAACGTGTGCGTGTGGCGTGTAATACTAGTTTGGAAGGAGAAGACGGATTAAGAAGAGGTTAGGATGCCGCAGTGCGCCGTGGCTACGTGCCGCAACAGTCATCGTCGGACCCGCGGACGTCGTATCCGCTACCATCGATTCCCCCAGATACCGGAAGTGCGCTCGCGATGGGTGCGCGCGTGCGGTCGCGTGCCCCTCTCGAACGGCGAGATACCGTTCAACATACAAACTGCGCGTATATGTTCCCTCCACTTCACGAACGATTCCTACGAGAAGGATATGGAGCACCTTGTGCTCGGTCTTCCTGTGCGCAGTAGGCTGCGTCGTGGCGCTGTACCGACGATCGGCGTGCCGGTGAACGTGCAGCCGGTCACCAAGATGCTGGTCGAGGACGCGAAGCGCTCCCTCCTCAAGGTCACCCATGCGAAAATGCTGACCGGCCAGAAAGTGACCGGCAAGAACGGTCTGGCCGACAGTAAGCAGCAGCACCATCAGCCGGCCGCGGAAAGGCGGCAGCAGCACCAGCACCACCAACACCAACAACGTGCCAAGAGCGGCAATCAAGTGAACCAGGAGCAAAAGATGGCGGGCATCGACGTGCTGCTTGCCCTCGGACTCAAACCCGCGCCACGGTGAGTCGCTTTCGCTCGCGTCCGAGAAACGATTACGTTCTCCAGACGGAATTCGGAGAGATCCATTTGGTACCGGAAACGATAACGAGTTCTCGATACGTCCCGCGCGTTATCTAACGAGACGTTTCGTTTCGGCCGCGATTGCTGTATTATGATGCCACACGATTGTTGCTAAACAAAGAGAGACCCTATTGGATCCTTTTCTAGTCGATTCGCGAACGTTTGGTACCGCGTATGCCGAGATACAAGGTCTTCGAATTCGTCATCGATCTCTCGGAGAGATCCTTTTCCTTTGCTACTTGAACAATACTGCAACAAGTTGATCGCTGTTTTTATGCGCCAAGGAATACGATTCTTTGGAACGATAATACCGCCGCGATTGCGACGCCCGACGACGCGGCAACCACGAAGACCTTTCGCGCGTCCTCTGGGAAACGGCGCATTGATCCACAATCGCAGATCATTCGAAAGTCTGTTGGAGCTAGTTTCTCTTCGGCCGCGTGCAACGGAAACTGGTATCGCGGTGAAACTCGATGGCGGCTTATATTTTCACGGTTTTTCTACGAGTCTTTAGGCCCAAGGTCACTGCGGTTACGTCTCAAGGTCACGCGATAGTTCGGCCTCGTAACGAATCGGGAGGCCTTAACACGATAGCGAATGGAGACAATAGGTGTCTATTAACGTGTCGTTTGACGACACATTATGGAATAATGTACAAATAACTAGGAATTTCAATTCCAGTTTCAATGATACGCCACGACTTATTTTCAGCGAATGAGTCGGCGCTAATACACGCTTTTTAACTCCGGTTCAGGTGATTTTGATATATTTGTTCTCGCGGATGCGAGAAGAACAATGAAAAATTATACTTCTCGACCTTTCGCGAAACGATGATATTTTGTTTAACCATGACGTACTATTTCGTCTGAATGCTTTTGCGTTTGACGTTAAGGGGGAATTAGGTTGTCTCGAACTCTTGCTGCATTTACCCGAAGGAAAATCAAGAGCGAAGTACGTGTCGTTTCGTCGACTTGCGAAATAAAATTTGCGTGGGTAAGTGAGACGCGCTCCCGAGTTGGAGAACGCGTCGCCGAGGCGGAAGGAACGTCTTTCTGAGAATAGTCCACCGTGATGGTTCGACCAATGAGACCTTGCAGCTTTATCTTGCTGGCGACGCACGTGCAGATAATGATTTTTCAACGTTCATTTTCGTTCGAATCGCTTTTCGAACACATCTTGCCCCCTTCCAGCTCGGCCTCGCCTTGTAGTCGTTAGGGAATATAACTTTTGACATTGTAACAAGCCATTGATAAAGGTAATTTTATTTTCACAAGAAGATAATGGATATCTGCTCGGCAACCGTTCGCCACTCTTCTTTTTAAACTTCTTCATTTTGGAAGCAAGATAACGGTTGGTTATAAAATTAACTAATTAGTTCAGATCCTGAGAACATCCCGAACGATATTGTAAGTTCAAAAAGATGATAAAAAATAGTAATTTATTGCTCCTCTTGAGTAGTACGTCCGCCATCCACTACACGCTATTCCTATTCATATTTCTTCAGAATACTGTGCTTGATACTTTTCATACACATTGTCTTGTGAATCTCTTCGCTTCGGATACAATAAGGTTTTAATTCTGAAATAGATTGTACAAGACTGATACGGAGTAGTCTAGTCGGTTAATAGATTTTGCAAGGTTGGAAGGATCCCTTCTGGGTCGAAGCGCTCGCTATATTCAAAGGAAGATAAGAAAAGCAACAATGCTTTAGGAAACAACGGAACGATCGTTTTGTTATCGATTTTAAAAGTTGTTATCATTTGGATCTCAGTTGAAAATATTTGATATGCGACATGCTTACGTTTCGTGTGATGATTGTTTTATTATACCATAAACCTCACGACGGTATTACAAACTTTTGTTCATTCACTCGTACCAAACAGTGTCTACACTCAAAGCGCAGATAATTTGAACATTGAAAAGAAACCTAAAGATCGATTTGCTATTTCTATTCAAAATACAGGCTACTAAGAGCTGAAGTATAGTTTTCCATACTCGTCATCTTCCAATAGTTATCCCTAAATTAGATAAACTGGATTACAAAATTAACGGGATCCTTTAATCGCAGAAGTTTTTCACCGTACAACCCACGCGGTTTGGTCTTAACGGAGATTAAGGTCATTATTTGCAGGATGACCCAACGAAATTGCAGCGTTACGTGTCGAAAATTGTTCGGCTAAAAAGTACGTGCGAACGATCGTGGACAACCGACCATCTTTGGTGTACAAACAGCCAGACCCAGGGTCGTCTCCGCGACAGCGATTTGACCTACGGGCGACCTCGGACCGAGAATCGACCGTCCTCCTTTCGTCATTCCACCTCGTGATATACCGAAGTTTCTCGTAGAGCGCCGCGTGATCTTATGTGGAAAAAGGCGCAGAACCGGGACGAGTTTCACAGACATCCTCGCCGGTTCATCCGCGCGCGTCCTTGGTCGTCCAAGGATCCCCTGGAGAACCACCATTTGCATCGTGGTCCTCCAAGAAAACACGTGACTGGTTTTCGGGAATTCCAGCTGCGGGCAAACAATTTTTATTGCGGACCAACGTCTTAAATATCCGAGCGACCCCACGACCAGGTCGGGCGGCCGTATTTTCGACGTTCCGTGGTATCCGAGGTGCCAAGGGTCGATCATTGCCTAAGCGCATTCTCGAAGACATGCAAGTACGTTCACCTTATTATCGTTCGAAAGTGCTGACGATTTATTTTCGGGCCTGGATAACGTTGCACGCCTCTGTTCTCGAGCGCCTGCGTACACGTTCCGAACGTTTTCCTTCTGCCCGATTGTACGAGACGGGTCCGATGGAATTTGAAAAAAAATCGACCGATCAAACCGACCGAATGTCGGAAATTCGACTAACTGCATTCCTCTTCGCACGGTTCGCGATGTAACGCGTGTTACACGTAGGCTCGCCCGCGCATGCATTACATTTGCGACGCGCACACAGACGCAGTACATTACGACATGTTTTAAGACATTCTTGACTCGGAGTAGCATCTACGATCGGTCATTTTTGCTGGAAGTTATCGATTTATCGCAAATCTCCAAGGCCAGCGAGACGCGACGCTAACATTTTGCTACCGCGTTTGTTTGTTCGCACATAGACACGCGGTAAGGAACGATCGAAATTAAACAAACCGCAATATGCCAACGATCGTTTTGTTAACCTAATTCAAGCTCTGGGCGATGCGACATGTTCGAGAAAGGCTTTCGCGGTCACGGACAAAGCGACCGGCTGGTATCTGGCAATTCAACCCGTCCTTGTCTTTTATCTCATGAAATTCGAGCCGTTGCGTACGTTTCTCAGCCCGCCGTAACTATCGCCGAAGTCGAATCTAAAGTATCAGTGTCCTTGTAGATATTTGTCTGGATACCGATCTTAATTTCGTAGAGAATTCAATGGCGGTGTTCCATTTCCAACGTGTCCGTTCCCTCGATGTTGTATCAGTTACCCAAAAATAGCAACTCATTAGTCGCAAAAAGAAGACACGGGGCAAGCTTCTTTTAAGGGCAACGATGATCCTTCTAAGGGAAGAGGTCCGAGACCGAGTTCGTCCCAAGGAAACTTCGGCGTAACCTTTGCGCGGCTCACCAACGCGCTCGAGAACGTCCTTGGCGCTCAGGGACACCTCGAGCAGGCGAGAACGCTCCTCCGATCGTCAGCGTCCACGAATTAGGTCGAGAGGAACGCGAGAGGGGCGGCAGGGCATGGTCTCTCGTAACCATTCGATGTCAATAATAATAGCGCGAGTCTCGCTCGCATAGAGTTTCCTTCTTCCCTTTTTAACCCTGCCGGCATTTGATATTCCTCCGTTTGATGGCTCGGTTTCCCGGAAATGCGAATCAATTTCATTGGGTTTCCGCGGCTAATCTGGTTCACTTTCGAAATAGCTTTGGTTAAAATCGTCGCGATTCGGATTATTGCTGTGGTACACACATAGTCTCCAACTTGGATGGATGGTAAAGTTTATGGTAAACGCCCTGTTTGCGTGAGTTTCGATCGCCACGATAAGCTAGAAGCATTCCTTGGTTCGTGAAAGATTGTCCGTTATCAGAGTTTATATGGTACGGGTTTATGAAGTTTGTCGTGAAAGTTGAAATTCCTTCGAAGGTCTGCGTCTCTTCGTACCTTTAAATACGTCAATAAACAAACGGTTGTTAGCTTAGGCTGAATCCCGTCTTCTACGCACAATGTATAACGGTGAACGTTTACTTTTTTCGATCGGTTCTTTCTTTCTTTCTTTCTCTTTGTGTAAAGCTTTTTGGCGTGTTCGAGCCAGAAAGAAAAGTTTCACCCGTAACTGTTCGATGTCAATAATAATAGCTCGACTTCGACCGCGCGCAGAGGTTTTCTTCTTCGCGTTCTTCCCCCACCTGCGTCGCGGAGTCGACCTTTCCAGCGCGACTTTCCGTGGACTGTGATGCTTATGTTGACCTCTGCGCCGCCATTATTGTTCCCATTCTCACTTTTGCAGTATATTTCGTTTTCGCGTCTTTCGATTGCTATTAGAAACCATGTGCATTATCTATGTAGAGCAAGAACACGATTTTTAATGGGAATTATGAATTTTAATGGTTTTCAGATTCAGATTATTATAGTCTCTTTGTCTAACTAAGCGATATAATTTACGTTCTCTGTCCACCATACAGTAGTTACTTCAGGATAACAATACTAGGAATTGTAGAGTGGCTAGCTATTGTGACTGCTGATCCACTTTTTACTCTTGATCTTATTTTACTTGAATTATCCCTTATGTCTATGTAGTTGAACTTATAAATGTACCCTGTAAATTTGAGATATAGGCACCTCAAATTAATTATACCACGTGACAAATTTTGGTTATTAATGTAATGGCCGGAATAGAAGGAGATTTAAGATACGGGTTAAAGTTTATGTTGTATTTGTCACGGTTGGAGGCAGGTCGCTGACTTCGGTGAACTCATTTCTAACTATTTCTTTTCCCTCGTATTGCCCGTAATCGGTCTTCCGCGCGACAACAAGAACTGGTGCTATCGTTGCAACCAGTCGTACAAATGTTTGCAAATGAACTCTCTTTTTAAAACTAAGTAAATAGTTCTTTATCACACGTGACACAGCCAAATACTTTTAGAGGCAAGCAGTTACGTTTACTTCAGAGGCAAGGAGTTAAGTTTACCATTTTCAACGTTACCACTTCGTATTTCTTGCTGTTGCCACCTTATCTTCCTTGGTTCATTGAACTCGTTAAGAAAGCTGCAATGTTCAATATTATCAATTATACAGTTTCATGAAGACTTTAAAGTAAACTGTTAAATATATACAGTAAATCATTTCTCGACGATCTGAAATACTTTCCATCCATGTTGTTCTACCGTGAGGGTGAAACTGATGTCTTTTTATTTGACATAGAGAATTTTTGTTAGTACGTTTTGATAGGCGAACATTGATACCATAGTTAGAGTTATTTATATGCACTTATTATTATCACTGATAAATATGGGTCTTTTTTGTAGACGTACCGAATTTCGAGAAATGACCACTTTGAAGTATCATCTCCGATTTCAATGACCTTGAAATATATTGTCCAGTTCATCCTTCTGAACAACTGTTTCCTATAGATATAATAAGCGCTCTCCTTTTGTTTAGTGCAAAAAAAGTGAAGAAGATGAAGATACGATCAGATCAGGAATTCAATGTAATAGAAACTTAATATAATAGAAATTGAACCTAAAAGGGATGTTTAAGATCGTTTCTCGCATTCGGCACCTAATCCAAACTATTACACTGTTGCTATTTTATTCAAAGCGTTAACACAAAAGTGGAATGTTCCTTGCCTGTTAAAATCGCCATATGCATAACTATCATTGTAATTAAGAATCCAGTGCTAATGGTATCAACAGTTTCCCCCGAATATTTTAAAAGCGAGAAAACTTCGCCTGTTATAGTTTTAAGAAAACGTTGTTCAGCACGACGATTTTGGCGAAATATTCCAAGGTGAGCAAACTTAGAGATGGTTGCCATAAATAGCACATTTCTCCGAATTTGTTACATTTGACTTAGTATAGTTTCAATGTTCAGCAAGGAGAGCAAGATAGAAAATGTTATCTCTAACGGAAGCGGTGCAAACGTTACAAAGTTGGAATAGGACAATAACAATAACAACGACCTCGGCTACAAGAGGAGGAGGTGGTAGCAGAGGACAGTAGGAGACGCGGAGGACGAAAGCGCGCGCTCGCTAGGCGAAGAAGTAGGACGCCGCTACAAGGTTCCCTGGCAAGCGTTTAACCTAACCTAACCTAGCCCAATCTAGGCGCGGACGCACACGCGCGCGCGCTTCTATCTGTTCCCCTTTTGTCCCCTCCGACCCCTTGGAGTCACCGCATTAACCGCGGCAACCCCACCTATGCTGGTCGACCTGCTGCACTCCGCTCTCTCCCTCTAACGGCCTCTCTCTCTCTTTCTCTCTCTCTCTCTCTCTCTCTCTCCTTCGCTATATCTGTACGTTTCTACTACGACCTGTCTCTGTCTCGCCGACTTTTGCTCGTACTCGACAGCGGTATCCACTGTATTCGCACGCCTCGTAGTCGGTCAGACACATCCTTCGTCCTAACCGTAAATGCGCGAAAACTGGCTCCGTGTTCAAGAACCGGGCATATACGCGACTCTAGCGGTTCTCGCACCGGTCATAGAACTCTCGTCCGTGAAACGTGTGGTGGCACTAGAGCTGCCTCCGCTCGGAGAAAGCGATGAGAAGAAGGGTTACGCGATTCCAGTCGCCGGCGTACCGACCGCGCTAACCGTACTCAGGCTCTGTGTCCACTTCGAGCCAGTTTGCCTATCTCCCGTGCGAAAACCTTTCTTTCTCGATAGATGAACGACCTTTCTTGACCTTTGTCGTTTTCACCACCTGTTTGAAAAGAGTCCGCCGACCAAGTAAGAGTGCTGAGAGTTCGTTCAGTGTCGGAGTGTCTTGGCCGAAGAAGACGCGCGGAGTACGGCCGATTGCACGCGATCGGCTTCGATCGTCTACGTCCGGCTATCTCCGTGGCAGTGTGGGACCGCAGATAGAAAGGATCGTCATGACCGGCGAGCAACCACGTTCGTTGAAAAGTGCAAGTGGAGTGTGAACAGTGCATGCGACGCGTGTTCATGCCACTCGTCCCCCTGTGTCAACGGTTTTTCTCGTGGCGAGAGCTCGCCTTTTTTTTCGCTGGTGCACCGTGCTCGATTACTCGTAAAGCTTCCTCTTCACACGGAGGAATACTTTTAGAAAGATGTAACAGTCTACCGCTCTACAGTTTCGTGTTATACATGTGGAATGTATTGTACGTACGTTGTAACCTTTACTGACAGTCATTGTACACAACCCACTATCGATACGGTTCTTTCAAATTCTTGAAGGGGTAAAATTAACGTGTTCAACAGATGGCGCTGCTGCGCGCCAAGTGAGAAAAAATATGAAATATTGTCTCTTTTAAATGAGATGACGGTGAATGTCCCTATCCGGTGGCCGGCATTAGAATCCAGTTACTGCATCTCATGTTTCATCTTGTTTCGTGACAGTGACCATTGCACTGGTTCGCGGAAAATGTTGGCGGCGTGCGGTTATTTAAAGAAAATTTTGCTATTCCTTCGCGACGCGCGCCACAGCTCTCTAATGAAAACATCATCCAATTTATTGCATCTTCGGCAACCATGTGTATCGTTGGTAACGTACTTTGAATGAAATACGGTTAAATGGAATTCTAAGATTTTTATGTTTAATACTTTTGTATAAAGCCGATTATCTTCTAACAGCGACCTTTATTAATTTTGCGCGAATGAAGGCAGGGAGGACATCAACCCTACGCCATATACCGCTACTTCGCGCGTGCATCCAACGAGAATCGGTCTCCTAATCGAATCTTTGATATTTGGTTTCTAATAACGGATCCGTTTTCATTTATTCTTTTACGTGTGCTCGTTCATCCAGAAGATTTCAGTTACCGTTTGCCAGCCGGTTTCGCTTTCTCCTTCGCTTTCGCTATCGCTCCAGCTAAACAGTTGGTACGCTCTGTTACTACTTCATGCGTCCGTGGAAAGTGTGAAAGGTATAATACTCTGATGAAATATGGGTTCTGTACTATATACTGTACCATATCGAGGACGTCATACATATCGTATCATTTTTCCAAACATTTTTATATTATTTTCGATGGTCAAGTATCATTCTCCGGTAAATCAATATAAACAATATTGTTAATAATAAGCACCGAGAAATGGAAACAATGTCATTTAACCCTTTGCAGTCGAAGCTGTTTGAATTCGAAATCCAAAACATGATTTCTGTTCTACAGTATTTCTATTTTATATAATTTATTGCGATTTATGCATATGAAATTGAGCCTATTGCAGCAAGTACAATGCAATTTTAAGTTTTTTAAATATATAAACGAGTCCGATGTTCTCAGAATGATTTTGAAAAATAGTATACCAATTTTTAATGGCGCCTCAGAGTCGCCATTCGAGTGCAAAGGGTTAAATGTTTCTGTCTCAAGATTTACTTCGTTTTAAGTCATACGAGAATGAAAGTGAAATTAAGGGGTAAGCGAAAGCAGTAGGCATGATAAACAATTCTAGTTTAATTAAAATTTCATTATCAGTAAATCTATGAATATCCAAATGTGAAATCTGAGAAAAATGGACAATTTGGAAAGAGGAGATACGATTATTCGAGACTTGCAACTCGTTTTTATAGTCGTTGATAATCGATAAACATAAAAAAAACGAGCCGCAAGGCTCGAACAATCGTATCTCCTCTTCTAAAATTGTCCATTTTTATGGACAATCTGAGCGTCAATTGGAGAGACATTACTGTACCAGAGTGGCAGAAACGTATCTCTTTAAATGTTACAACGATAACAGAAATATTTCAACAATTATTACTGTCTGTCTGAANTGATTTCTGTTCTACAGTATTTCTATTTTATATAATTTATTGCGATTTATGCATATGAAATTGAGCCTATTGCAGCAAGTACAATGCAATTTTAAGTTTTTTAAATATATAAACGAGTCCGATGTTCTCAGAATGATTTTGAAAAATAGTATACCAATTTTTAATGGCGCCTCAGAGTCGCCATTCGAGTGCAAAGGGTTAAATGTTTCTGTCTCAAGATTTACTTCGTTTTAAGTCATACGAGAATGAAAGTGAAATTAAGGGGTAAGCGAAAGCAGTAGGCATGATAAACAATTCTAGTTTAATTAAAATTTCATTATCAGTAAATCTATGAATATCCAAATGTGAAATCTGAGAAAAATGGACAATTTGGAAAGAGGAGATACGATTATTCGAGACTTGCAACTCGTTTTTATAGTCGTTGATAATCGATAAACATAAAAAAAACGAGCCGCAAGGCTCGAACAATCGTATCTCCTCTTCTAAAATTGTCCATTTTTATGGACAATCTGAGCGTCAATTGGAGAGACATTACTGTACCTGTCTCTTATACACATCTAGATGTGTATAAGAGACAGCTTCTAAAATTGTCCATTTTTATGGACAATCTGAGCGTCAATTG